AATTGTGATTTGTTCTGCACTTCTCGGCCACCATAGTAATGACTATTGAGGACAAGAACAAACTACAAGACAGAAACATTTCACACTGATATTGTTGTTTAAAAGAGATCAATCAGATTCATTGTGACTGTTTAGTAGCAAAGTGTTGTTTTACGGTTTTGTACTACATAAATGATTAAGAGTTTAACAGACTTTTGTAGGGTTTTTGTTGTTTGTTTTATTGTAAATTATCGTGTTTAATCCAATTCACATCCTCATAATGGGCCTCATTCATGAAACTTGCGTAAATATATGAGTAAATTATGAGTAATTTGCGCGTAAAACAGACCTTCCCGAAAACTCTCCTCCGGATTCACAAACGCTTCGTAAACGTCCGATTTGTTAGTTAAACATGGCTATGTTAATGAACTGCAACCATTCGTAAATAGGGCGCTCGTGCACGCTCATTCACAATTAGCATAATCCCCGCCTATGAATTACAGCTACGCAAATTGCGTGTCCAGGAACGCAGTGGAATATTCTGGTCTACTTTCTCAAATTTGGCTCCAGTACCTATTGCATAAATGCAAAAAAGACTAGTAGGCAATATGCATAACAATACATATTCAATAACGTGTGTCCACCAAAGTACGGAAGTCCTAAGAGCCATGGATTATACTTTTTTTTTTATTTCTTGTTTTTTCGTGATAACGACTTAATTATCTCGTGATCTCGACATAGCCTAACAAAAGTTGTTTTCTCGTTATCACGATGTAATTATCTCGTTATATCGACATAACAAAAGTTGTTTTCTCGTGATCACGACATAAAAGTGTCTTCTTTCTTTGCGTCAACATTTGGGCGGCGTTATGCAAATCTTCCTACATAGTGACGTAGGTATGTGGGGGCGTGTTAGAACGAGCCGTTTTAGGTAGGTGTGGCTGACTCTTAACTTTTATAAAGAATATCTCTTTGGATTTGAGACTTTAGTCTTTGCAACTTTACAGATCTTCTTTATGCACCAAGAGCTTGTAACACTCCAAAGAGAAAGGAAAAATTGAAATCGCATCATATGACCCCTTTAATTAAGTGATGTTCTACAGTGTTGTACTCTTTTGTATTTTCTACATTTCTTTGTGGAAACCACACACACACACACACACACACACACACACTTTTCAAACAGCAATTTTGAATTAATTATTAATTGAATTAGTATTAATTGAAGAAATTAATACTTTTATTTAGCAATGTTGCATTAAATTGATCAAAAGTGACAGTAAAGACTTGTTACAAAGGATTTCTATTTCAAATAAATGCTCTTCTTTCTATTCATCAAAGAATTCTAAAAAGTACCAGTTTCCACAAGTGAGAATCTTCCACAGAGTCACAGTAAGAATATGTATTTATTTAATTCAATCAGCAAGAAAGAGAGAGTAAGATAAAGACAGTGCTTTGGGAAGAAAAAAAGTAGATGAGGTTATCTGGAAATTTCACAATACACATTTAGCAGTAGACAATATTTAATTTAAATACATAAATTAGACAGACAACATTAATCCGTCGGTTTCTAACCAGATTCTGTGTTAATTTAAAATCACTCTTGCATACATTTTTCATACAAAGGTTCTTTGAAATGCTGACAGAGCTAGAAATGCTGACAAAATCCTGGAAATCTCTTTTTCCAAAAAGGCACATTTCTGAGCATCAAATACAATAAAGGATTATTACTGTACAAAACAAAAAAGGTCGGTGAGCACACAATTAGTGTAGAGGATCATAATAAAAGTTAAAAAAAAAAGCAAGCTTCAAGGTGCAAAAGAGCAACAGGACAAAATTAAAACAGGTTATTGTAAAAGCAACATTGAAATGATACCCCCCCAAAAATCTATAAAAAATAAGACTAGTTCCCTCGGAATTGTCTCCAGTATTGTATTGCAAGGTTTTCCATTGGAAAAATCCTATTGAATGTCATCACTTATTGAACATGTTGGCTAATGACTGAAAATGTCAAAGGACACAGGCAGTGATGCAGGCCTGGCAACATTTGTAGATACAGTGTGTCTATCATCCCTGAGACTCCCAGTTTTAGACTAGGAACCAATGACATCTGTGAAGGTGAGCTAAATGATCATCCTGCTATTTATTTTGGCAGCTTTGCCAGACCACACCTGATCCTGTAGAGACGTTTCTGATGATGTCCAGGCTCAATACATTTCTTTATCATTAGCATATCGGAAAATGAACTAGATGAACTTGAACTAGATACTTGGCACTAGCAAACAAAAAAGGCTAGAAAACGATCAGGTTTAAAAGGCATAATACTGTGACTGCGGGTATCAAGTCCAGTTTTGTCACAATATTTACATGTATTTTTGGTCAGGAGTTAAGACCGATACTACACTCAACACACAATTATCAGATGCAGTTTTCATTTATAAATGCACAGATCTCACATCACAGGCTCACAAATTAGTCTCATCCCAGGATGGGTCATTCATACTCTTTAACACTTTCCTGACAATCTTCTCCAGCTCTTTCCGTGCCTTTTGTTCTTCTTCAAGAGTGCGCTTCATTCTCTTGTTGTCCTGGTGATGTAAAATCAGTGAATCCGGGTCACGGCACCAGATTTTGACTTACAACATGGCATCACATTAAGCATAAACAAATGTTTACATGGCATGTGGACTGACCTGCTTAAGTTCTTGAACCTCATCTCTTAAGGCATAAACTGTATCCACCAGACTCCTGTAAAGACATCCATATAAAATCATCATCGTGAACAACTATTGAGATGTTACACGTTTTTAATTCGCAATATTATTATAAGGTTAATCATGATAAATGAATGTTTAAACTGACAGCCCTAATAACAAAAATAGTAAATAAATAGGATTGGATGCATAAATCTGAGAGCTAACCTTTCTTCAATTACGGTTTGACCATTGCTCTTGGTCTCTTCCACAATGATTTTCTCCTCTTCAGGAAAAAGCATATGTGGCCCTGACTCCTTCCTTGATCCTGAAAAAAGTTTAACAATACTAACAGATTAAAAACTGAACTGTAACATGTTACCAGTACCAGTGTGATTTCAGTATAATTGATACTATTATAGTTTTTATTAAAAAAAAGTTATATATTTGTTTAATTTTCATGTTAATTTGGGATAGTTTTAGTAATTTTGTGATGTGTTTTGTCATTTTTTATTTATTTTTTTAAATGTCTATAATAGTTTTTATTTTTATTTCAGTTAGGTTAACTATAATAATCCTGAATTGTACAGAAACAGAATTTTAGGATGGGGTACTATTAAATGTGAACGCTTCTGTCCTATGAAAGCCATGGAGCAAAAGCAATAAAACTATCTTTCCTGCTTGTTCATGTCCTTCCATGTCTTCAATATGTTCCCAACCTTACATATTAACGTCAACGCTTATATCCAAACACTCAAAAAGAGCTTGCCACTTTCATTGTAAACAAAATAAAACAAAGAAGGTGTTTTAGTTTTGATGTGTATATACGAGCAGCAGCTCTTACGGGACATAGAACCCATTCTGTTAGTGTGAGTTATCCATATACTGTCATAGTCCGAGTCTTCAGAATGATCAGAGGGAAATCCGCTGCTTCGGCAACCCACAGCATCCACACACGATTGGTCAACATCAGCCAGCACATGATTATGCATCAAATCAGTACCCTGCCATGCTAATTAGGGATGGGGATCAAACCAATCATATTGGAAAGGACAGGTGGATTGAGAGGATGGACCAAACCAAGAGGAGTAAAGTGAGGGAGAAACCAAGACGTCCAAAAAATTGTATGTATATAAATGACAAAATGAAATAAAAAAATATAGGGAAAAAGCAATAAAAATGGCAGGACCAAATAAGAGATAAATGAGTGAAAAAGAAATGAATGAAGGAAGGAAGAAGAAAAGAGACAAATATGCATGTTAAAAAGAGCAGAAAATATTAAAAGCGTGATCAACGCAGTGGTAAAGAGCCAATGCCATAATGCAGTAAAGATGCTGCAGTACTTACAGACATATGTAAAAATGTTTGAGAGACTTCAGGACAGATGAAGGCATTTTGTTGGACTCAAAATGTGGGCCTCCTAGGCCAAATACACTAAAGTTTAGGGTCAGTATGTTTTTGAAAGAAGTCTCTTTTGTTCACAAAGGCTGCATTTATTTGATCAAATACAGTAAAAGCTGCAATATTGTGAAATATTACAATTTAAAATAACTTCTCTATTTTAATATATTGACAAATTTAATTAATTCCTGTGATGACAAAGAGTTTTCAGCATCATTACTCCAGTCTTCAGTGTCACATGATCCTTCAGAAATCGTTCTAATATGCTGATTTGCTTTTCAAAAACATTTCTTAATATTATTATCAATGTTGAAAACACTTGTGCTGCTTAATAGTTTTGTGGAAACAGTGATCCATTTTTTCAGGATTCACTGATGAATAGAAAGTTCAAAAGAAAAACTTTTATTTGTAACAATGTAAAACTCTATGCTGTCACTCTGGATAAATGTAATGCTTCCTTGCTGAATAAAATTATTAATTTCTTTCAAAGAAATCATACTGACCCGAAGCTTTCAAACGATACTGTGTATTTTAGAAATAACTTGAAAAAAAACATTTAAAATGTGACAAAACCACGAGTTTTATGCAAGATCCACAGTTGTATTGTCCTCCTCACTCATTTACACAGACAAAGCCCGTCACAGAGTCTGGGACTGAAAATCACAAGAAAATGTGAAAAATTCATAAACGTGTAGAAAGTACATACTTGAGTTTAGTGTTTGCCGTGTTTTAGCACTTGTGCAGTATGCTTCGATCACTTTCAGGATCTGAGCATCCTCCTCCAGAGCTACAGTGCCTGATTGAAAACAAGAAGAGTATATAAAAGATGCCAGTGGTAAGGTAACATTGTGAGAATATAATAAAGACACTATAATCAATGCACTATAACGTACACACAAAAGCAATACATGTGATGTGTTTGTAATAAATACATCACATGCATATGCAAAAAGAAACAGAACTTTATTAAACTTTAAGAAATCATTAGTGTCATACTTTTTCTGACAGCAAATTCCTCATCAGATGGCTTCCTCTCAGGTTTTCGTTTGGGCAGAAGCTTCTTCATACTTTTGGGACTTTTACTCAAGTCCTGAAGGACAAGAAAATTAGATGCAAATATCCAAATTAAATCTCATACAAAAGAAGTTTCTTTAATAATTAAAGGTTAGCTAATAAATCATGTTTTATCCATTGGTTTATAGCAATTCTTCTTCTAGAGATGCTATTAATGTGTCAACATACACATGTGTAACATGGCACATAACATGATACCTCTTTGTAACACAATGCAGCTGAGGGTTTTAGGGGTGGTGCAGGTCGGAGACAGCTGAGACTCCAGGGCTTCTGGGTTTTGGGGGGTTCGAGGGGCCCCCACATCATACCACTGTGAGGGGTTCCAAGTGAAGAGAGGTGAGGAAGAGTGTGGTAGACGGGAGATCCGCTCACACCTCGATTCTCTGAGTGTCTGGACGGGGTGAGAGGGTGAGACGGCAGCTGAACGGGAAGGAGAAGGGCCAGTGAGTGACACTGAATATCGCTGAATATCATATATATATATATATATAAATAAATGCAGCCTTGTTGAGCATAAGAATTTTATTTCAAAAACATTAAAAGATTGTACTGACCCCAAACTCTTCAACGGTTGTGTGTGTTTCTCACCGTATGGCATGGAACATTCTGTGGTTTCAAGTTGCTGGTTGAAGTGCGTTTGGTTTGCCGGTGTAAATGATCCACCCAGTCATGAAGATCTTGCTGGTTATTACAGATCACCTGGATCCGCTCAATCATATTTCCTGCACACACACACACATCATTACTGCTCAAGTATATGTATTCTCAATATCTAGCAATATTAACATTTGACATGAGGGCAACTGGGTGGGAAACTCACCAGATATTTCGAAAGCAATTTTCGTGGTGTCACTGTCCTCTATTTTATTTACAGTCATTCCAGTCAGAGGCAGCTTCCCCTGTGTAAGTCAATCAACCAAACCAATCAGCTGTCAGCATTTTAGAGTGTTATTAATGCATGAACAACCAAACAAACAGCTGAGGTCCATTCTGAGGTCATTCTAATAGAGTAGTGTAAAGTTAGAGTAATATAAAATAATAATAGAATGATATGGAGTATGAGATTTTATTGCTAAACTGTCAAAACATGAAACAATAATATATAACGTGTCAAATGTACAGTATGTAATCAGTGACTGTGAAAGCAGCATCTACGTTTAAAGGTGGGGTAAGCGATTTCTGGTAGCCAATGTTGATATTTCAAATCACCAAAACAAACACGCCCCTACCCCAAAAGGGTCTCGCCCCTATTTTGATAGCTCTGCCCCACACATATGTACGCAACCCAGGTGACGATTAGTTCGGTTAAAGGGGTCATATGATGTTGCTAAAAATAACTTTATTTTGTGTATTTGGTGTAATGCAATGTGTTTATGCGGTTTAAGGTTAAAAAAACACATTATTTTCCACATAATGTACATTATTGTTTCTCCTCTATGCCCCGCCTTTCTGAAACGCATTGATTTTTACAAAGCTCATCAGTCTGAAAAGCGAGGTGTGCTCTGATTGGCCAGCTATCCAGTGCGTTGTGATTGGCTGAATACCTCAAGCATGTGACGGAAATGTTACGCCCCTTACCATACTGTGTTTCCATGTGTCCCGGCACGACGAGACAAAACCAATAAAACCCATTACAAACGAGGCATTTGTTGCATCCAGTGGGGACATAATTACTGATTATAATGACTTATACTGTGTTTTTAAGCTTTGCGTG